CATCATCATCATCATCATCATCATCATCATCATCATCATCATCGTCATCATTTACGTCTACCACTTCAAAAATTTATTAACTGAGCTTTTACTGATTCTTGTTAGCTTTAGTGATGCAACCTTCAATAGTGTGCGTTCGTAGAGCCGAGCACCTTCTCGCAGACATGGGCCGACTAGAGCTCCGTGGTCACTGCCAAGGTGGGACACTGTTGAGTGTAAGGGGATCACACGTGCGTACTTGATTCATCGTGGGAGTGAGGGCATTCGCAACGCTTTCATAAACTATACCATAAAACGATAGTGCCGGTTACACCGATTTCAGAGGGTTTTAGGGGTCTGTAGGTGGTTTATCAGACTTAACAATCTAAAGGTACCCTCGATGCTGTTGCTTATTCGGTTTATCATGGACTCTTAGACTTTCTCTCTGTCTCTGCAACGGTGAACACTATTGTTTTCCTCTCAGTGTACCTAAATCCCGTGGAATTTGAACTGTACATTCTAGTGAACAAAATGACAAAATTAGGTGTGGCTGGTCGCCCCTGTACGGTTATTGGGTCCTTATTCATGTTGGCGACGTCAGTTTCCTTGCGGGGAATATGACTAGGATGGGTCGTTAATTGGGCAGGTTAGTTATCGCCAGCCCTAAATCAACAAATCCTGGTCAAATGGCGTAACAGCTTTAGCTACGAGGGTTACTGCTTGTCAGGAATTTTAAGGTCTCAATTAACTAGCCGCACGCTGGGGAGACTTTGGGTGACCATAAAATATGCATCCCTGTCTCCCTCGTGCATATGCGTATTCTGTCTGCGTCTTTCGATTCATCTACTTCTGCGGCCCCATGCAAGAACCCTAAATTGTGGGCCCAAGATCCAAACGGACGGACTTGTTCCTGCACATAAGCTAATAAGCGCAACAACAATTCCACACAGCTTTATACTATCCTATTTGATGATGATTGCAAATTAAAATATGAGACGGCGGCAGACGAGGACTTTGGGTCGACTCACCTTCTGGACTCTCCTCTTCCGGCTTGCTTTTGTCTCGTTTATTTTGCCCTCTCCGGGTGACCTAACCTGCCTCAACTCTTCTATCCTTCTTGAAAAAGCCCCGAAATGGGGGCACTGGTCATAGCGGCGGTGGGAAGTCATCTTAATTGATACTCTGCTTTTTGGATGTCATAAGATCGCTTTCTTAGACCTTGAAAACCGCGGTTGTGTACTTTCACTTCTCGAGATGACATGCTAGAACTTACTCTTCGCCGAGGGCACACCTGCTGAACGTTGGCGTAGGCAACAGTTAATCTCCTAGTTTATAGATCCACATCACTGATCGGTAGTGAATATATAGTGAGTATCTGGATCACAAAACCCACCTACCAAGTTGCTGAGGATTGCTAGGTCGTGGGTTCCTTTCGTTACTCGTATGTGATTGGTACCGCGAAAATAAACCAATTTTGTTCTTAGATATATCCCTAGATTAGATTACGTATCTCCGATCCGTGTACTGTCCCATTCGACCAACATGTAAACTTGAACGCTTGACTCTAGTCTGCTCTTTCTTAACTCTCTCTCTTCAAGGTACATCTGGATACTGCAACTTTACAATTTCGCAGTCTGTCTCTGGCTGGCCAACTTCTTCATCGCCCTGGGCGAAATGACACTGGCTGGTGCCTTTGCCAGCTTCTACTTTTCACGCCGGGATCCGTCCCGCCTGATGCCTACCTGTCCCCTGTTTCTGAGCCTCGGTCGTGCCCTCCTCTACCACATGGGCTCACTGGCCCTCGGCACCCTGCTCATCACTCTGCTCGGCTTGATTCGCGCTTTCCTGCTCTACCTGGAGAAAAAACTGAAGGCCGCTGAGAATCCGGTTGCAAAGGGCATGCTTCGGTGTTGTGGTTGCTGCATGTGGTGCCTGGACAAGTTTTTGCGTTTCCTCAACAGGAACGCATATATAATTGTAAGTAAATAACGTTTACTTGCTTGTATTAAGTAGCAATTCACTGTTCTACTCAATTATCTTAAAATCTCACCTTAAATCAGATAGCCCATATAGATTGTGCAGAAGGTGAAAACGACTTTTTTCATTCCCCTTTATATGACGATCAGTGTTTGCGCTCAGTCTGTTCTTTTTCTGCATAAACAGATTGCCATTTACGGTTACGGTTTCTGTCGAGCTGCGAAGGATGCCTTTGGGCTCATCCTACGAAATGTGGTCAGGTTCGTTTGCGCTTGCTTTATTCATTCGCTTCTTGCTTTCAGGATCAAAAAGCGTGTTCTCTGTATTCCTCATTTTTTTCTTCCTTTTAAGGGTCTTTGTCGTCGACAAGGTTACGGACTTCTTGCTGATTATTGGAAAACTTGTGGTCTGTGGACTTTCCGGTTAGTTTTTGTAGTCTCATCTGACCATCCGGAGTTTCTAACGCTCTTATGATTTCCCCCTAAACTTCAACTTACTTGCGTTTATCTTCGCTTGCAGCTCCTTTTTTAATCCTGACTGTTTCCATCAAGAAACAATCGCTCTTCTGACTGATTACAACCACCTTACATTATTACCTTCCCTTTTACTTCATTCGGTTTTAGGTGCTGTCGCCTACTTCTTCCTGGACAGCTCCCTCACTTCTAAGCATCTCCCAAGCGCACTGGCCAGCATTCAACCGCCGCATCTCTATTACTTCATCGTTCCTGTCATTGTAAGTGTTGCCCTTCCCTGCATCTCAGGCTTTATGTATGCTGATAGTGATGGTGGTCGTAGTAGCTTTAGTGGACGTAGCAGTGAAAGTAGTTTTAATAGTCATAGTAGTCGTAGTGGTGGTGGTGGTGACGGAG